TCTTCTCCATCTCTGACAACGCCTACCAGTACATGCTGTCAGGTGATGACTTGTAGCATTTATTTATGTTGTTTGTTTTCGGAGATTTATATTGCAATGTGTAAATAAATTTAAAATGCCAACTTTCTTGTTTTTTTCTTTCTCACAGACAGAGAAAACCAGTCTGTCCTGATCACGTACGTAATACACATGATGATGTCGCATGACATTTCTCCTTTCACCGATATTTTCTATCTATGCTGCATTTTATCAGTCTTTTAATTTGCTGTTTTTATTCTAAGTGGAGAATCCGGTGCTGGAAAGACTGTGAACACTAAAAGAGTGATCCAGTACTTTGCCAGCATTGCAGCAGCACCAACCACCAAGAAGGATCCATCAATGGAGAAAAAGGTGCTTCATTCCCAAAGATTCACTCATACTGGATGAATGAATATACCTTTAGCATTGCATACAAAAATAATTATTCAATTAATGATGTCTTCATAAGTTAAGTATTAGTCACAAATTCTCTTCCACTGTGACTTAGATTATTTATGGATTACTACTATTATTATTTTACAAGACAACATAAAACAATGTCATATGTCAATGGTATACCAAATGTTTTACACAATTATTAATAAAATTAAAATTTCACAGGGTACTCTGGAGGATCAAATCATCCAGTGTAATCCTGCTCTGGAGGCTTTTGGTAATGCCAAGACCATCAGAAATGACAACTCTTCCAGATTCGTAAGTGGGGTTCAAATTGGTGTACATATTTTATATTTGCTTCACAGTCTGTTGTATGAGCATGTTATATATTGTAGTCTTGCTATATTTACAGGGTAAATTTATCCGTATCCATTTTGGAGTCAGTGGAAAGTTAGCTTCTGCTGACATTGAGACGTGTAAGTACTTTACTGCCCAACATCATTCCAACAATCACACATTAATGAAATGTATCTGTTTTGTTATTCATCTATGCATCAATTCATTTAGATCTGCTGGAGAAGTCTCGTGTCACTTATCAACTCAAGGCTGAGAGAGACTACCACATCTTCTACCAGATCCTGTCTCAGAAGAAACCAGAACTG